ACTAATTCAGTAGTCTTCTGCACCCTGAGCCAGTTAAAGCACTAGTTTGGCCAGTTTGGTCTTTACTTCACCTCATCGTTATTCGCTGTTTTGTTTCAGTACATTACATAACAAATGATATGCATGATCAAGGACTTAAAGCCGCATTATGCGAAAATTGGTATGTTTTGCTCTTTGGCTCCCCAATCCATATGCCTGTGTGTATGCGAAGGGGATTCAGATTCTGCCGGGGAGTTGGAATTCTGCACAACACCAGCAAAGGCAACATCAGAAAAAAAGATCCATGTCAACTTACAAGGTAGAGTAGCATTACAGGACTTTATTCCAGGAGGTTGCACACATTCAAGGCTTATTCAGCTGAGACTGACAAAGACTGACCGAACTCTTTGATTGAATGGGATGAGGTTTTTTTTTGCATGCTAGCCCGAAACTAGACTGAGGTTAAATGACTTAATGCATCCGTAAAAACTACAAAACACCATGAGACAGGGTTGACAGATAAGGTTACAGCCTTCGGTGCAATCTTTCATTAATAACTTTGGTAGGGATGAATACTGTTGAATTTTGTTGTTTTCCCGTTAGCCATGACTGTTTTGCATCCTTTAATCTCTTTTAGCTCTCACCAATGAGTAAAAGCCAGTCTGAGATCTTCTCCACTTCCACCGACAATGTCTTCTTCTGTTTCTTTGGAGCCTCTGCCATGATGTCAATGCTGGGAACACCAAGCTAGGTTCTTCTTAAAGCTAGCTGAATACCTATAGTTGTTTGAGTGTGACATGGTGCCAAAATGTGTTGCGCAGTTCCTGTGAGTGTTCTCACGCTGCTCCTCCAAAGTTACATAGCGCTATAGCAGGTGTTCAGGGCCTGGAATGGCAATAACAGAGATGCCACTCTACCATCATAATAATGAGGCTGTCAATTTAACCTTTTAACTCCTTGGGACCACAATAGTCAAATAGATGGGCGATGTCATTTTAAACTCTTATAATAAAAGAAGCTGAACTCACAATTTTTTTTCCTACTGAAAGTCGACCCATTTTTCCACAAATCTGAGCTATAAACTGGATCTTAGATGGCGTCTCTTCAGTGATATGCTCTGTAAAAATCATTTTTATTAAAAAATACAAAGAGCGTCTAAGATTTTTGGCTTTCAGCAGTAAATTGTAAGCATATAGCAATATGCACATAATCATAAAACACATTTTCTGCATCAATTAATATTGTGTCAATTTTTTTAATTGGGGAAATTTAACCCAATAACGAAGGGGCCATGTGGCACAGTACATTTAGCATTCAAGTCCAAAAAAATTATTTCTTGGCAAAATATAAATAGGCCTGGAGCTTTATTTACAGAAAATAATCACATTTAGATCACAATGGCAATATTGGTATGAAAAATCGCAGTTAAATATTTTTCCAAATCGTTCAGCCATGACCACAATAACTAACACAGGAGGCTAATAATTCTAAACAGACAGTATTATAAACACTGGTGTGAAGCCAGTGTAATGAAATTAATAACCTCCTGAAAAATTGTAATTTTCAAAGTGACAACTGTATTTTTTTATAGAGCAGAAAAAACAATTAACAACATGTTATTGGTTGTTGTATATGAGCTGATCTGTATATTACCAATCAAATCTGTCGAGTCTGAAGTGCATTTGCGTTTGGTTAAAATCTTGTTTCAATCCAGATACAAGTGACATGAAATGACCAGGTATAAACAGGGACTAAGGGTTTTGGTGACACCAATGAATTACCTGCATTTGAACAGCTAAGAAGGTTAAACATCAGCAATAGGAGAAGCATAACTGTAAATGGAAAGCAATATTAGTTAGCCTAAGCGTGACCCAGTGCATTAGTTTGTGTATCGCAGTAAAAGCAATTTTACCTGATAAGTGAGCCGCAGCTCCTCTTACTGCACACAAACTCACTACTGTCTATAGGTCTGTGCTATGTAAGTATGCTGAACTCAAACAGAGGGTGGTGGGTCAATGCCCCACTACAGCAGTGGGAGAAATGCTCGCATGTTCCTGAGGTTCTGGTGGCTCTGATGCATACATACACATTGTCCAAAAGTCTGAGACGAAGAAGTTAAAATGCTATTTTGCACTTCTTTCTAATTTAATAGAAGGTTTTTCATTACAAATGACAGTATCAGCACAGCAATTGGAGTGAAAAGTAGAATCTTACTCAATTTCAACATGAATTTCAGAATTTCTTAGTATTTGGTACAGTATGTCCCTCTTTTACTTTAATGAAACTTGAGCTACCAGGAACTTCTGAAAAAAGACTTCAAAAAGTAGATCAGATCTACCTGACAGTCAATGCAAGATGTAAAGATTAATAGAACAGGTCTGACTTGTCTTCTACAAAAGTCCTAACATGGTCAGTGTTCCAAAAGCGCTTAGATTTAAATAGTGACGAAAAAATGATGCAGAATCTTGAACGTCTTCTCCATTTTAGTTGCCATGATTTTTCTTTGTTTTAAATATTTCTAAACTCTTTTGTTCCCTTTTTTGTTAATTAACATTTTTTTGTATTATTTGTTAATTATTTCCAGGTTTAAATGAAAAACATCCTAGATTTTCAAAGTGATCTCAGACCACAGTCCTTATTGACTTTGTCCAGTTAAAGCAACAAAGCACAGTAAGGACTGTAACACACAAAATAAGATACATTTAAGTAGTACTGAATGTTAACAGCATTAAAAATAATGTGATAGAATTATAATAAAATCAAACATGAAAAAATATTAAACAAACACCCTTTTATATGCAATGATGCTTTTAGGACACACCATGTGATATAATCTACACATTATCATCCCCAACTGTGAACGTTCACCATTTCACTTTCACTTTTTAATGTTTTTTTCAACTCCAGTAATCAAGTCATAACACTGTATGTAAAATGTATGAAAATGAGAAACACAGACTGAAACATGATGAACTGTGTTTTCTTTCGAGTCTTCTACATGCAGAGTTAACGTAAAGATGGAGTGTTAAATGAAAAGCTCAGCCTACCTTCATGTGGAGCTGCTGAGGCGTAACTGAATAAGAAGAGCTTCAGGATGGTCTACAGATCCAGAGTCCACCTGCTCACTGATCACTGAGATCATTGAGAGCTTTAATCAGCTCTGTTTCAGACACTACAGTGTTCAGGTTTAATGAGTTTGTAGATCTGGAGCTGCTGAGATCTTTTAACCTCACCAGCTTACCTGGAAACTCCCGGAAGAGGCGCGAGGAGACGCGGGCGGAGAGTCAGAGTCCAGGTGAGGGTTAAAATGAAACTGGTTGAACTGGATAGATAGTCAACTTTATCTCCTCAGTTTATCGTCTATCGACAGAACATGTATGTTCTACTGCTACAAAGACAAACAACTCCAACTATATATATATATATATATATATATATATATATATATATATATATATATATACATATATACACACAACTATGTAACAACTTTTTTCACTGATGTTGAAGGTTTGGTTAACCCAGCCCAGCCACCTGAAGTGGAGGAATTCACATATTTTCAACCGTTAGTGATAAAGGTTACTGAAGCAGTAGTAATCACATTAATAAAATGTGTTTATATGTGAAATACACTTCAAATACATTGTTTCATTTCAAACACCAAAGTACATTCAGCAAAAAAATCTTTCAGAGTCGCTTCCTTTTGATCCAAAATTGAGGTCAGCTGGGCTCAGCATTTCTATGCTTACCACAGAGCAGGTCATGAGTGTGTACCTTAATTGTAACATGTCTGGAAGCACCTGCACTTGTTATGTTTCTCCACTCATTTATTCAGGATTTCCATTCATTTGTTTCTCTCTCCACATGTAACTGTAGTAGTACAGACGATTTCACATCTATAAATCTTTTTCCTGACCTAAACCAAAACCTTAGGCTTAGAAAAAAATGGCCTTACAATTCACCAAGAAAATTACATTTTGTGGCAGGTTTAAAGGAAGCTGCTGTCTTTACTGTGTGTGTTTTGCCTTGTTTTAGTGAAATCTATTGGTACCTTAACTATGCACTTTTGTAACACTCACAGACTGTTGTTTTAGTACATTATGGTCTATTACGGTATTATGTGGCAGAATGTCCTCTCATTGGGAATAAAGCAATATCTAAGACTTTAGATCAGTGGTCACCAACACTCCTTCTGGAGATCTATTTTCCTGCAGAGTGTCATTCAAACCTGCATCTAACATGCTGCTCCACCCAAATCTGTAGCTTCACTCCTGATTCAAACATTAAGAAATCAGAGGCAAGATGAAAGATGATTGGCTCTAGAAAATGTTCAGTAGTTCCTGCTTTATCACATCAGACAAACTCCTGAATGAAGCAGAAAGCTGGTTATAGGTTATACGTTAGGCGTCGAATTACAGTACAGACAAATTTAACTATGTAGTTTGCTCTTAACAAATCCGAGCGCTAGCATTCTGCTTTCCAAAGAATACTTACAAAAACATTAACCTGAAATCATTTACAAAACCAAAACATAGTACAATCACAACTCCAACTGGCTTTTTTTTTTTCTTTTCTTTCGTTCTTTCTAATAATAAACCGTTTGAACAGTTTTCATCCTACTCTTTTACAGTCAGCAGCATAACAGGCTAACTCACGCTGACTAGCATGAGAACAGATGAGTTTAACTCACCGGAGTTGCTCATTAAAAGGAGAAATAATCGACAGCAAAAGATCTTGATGGATAATTTCACCTTTACAGAGTGAAATAAGTAAAATATGGCTCAGTTCTAGTCTTCTGTAGGTCAATAAATTCAATGCTCTTAAGTGTAGTAAATCCGAAGCTAAGCTGCAAGTGGTTTCGTGGTATCGTTCGTCTAAAACTGGTTTGGACCGGTTTTCCCAGCTGGCTCAGACCATCTACAGGAAATTTCGAGAACTGCAACAACTATACCTATATATTTAAGTGTAGTACAAACATGAAATGAAAATAAACCTTCACTTTAAGTGGGTTACACTGTACAGTTCTGGAGTGAGCTTTCTTCTAGATAATGTCGTCAAAGTGTAGAACAAAATGATATAGAAAATATTTTAAAGGCTTATTATGCATTACATATTGTTGTCGTTAATACAAAACCTCATATCTCATATATTTTTCGTTCTTTTTAAAATACTTTTGAAATTTCCAGTTACCCTTCATATTGTGTCAAAATTCCATGATGAACCCACTAATAGATATAGTCCAAAATGAGTTGGAATAAATGACCTCTCCATTAACAAAAAATGTTTTTACTTCTCCTATAAAGTTACTTTCTGGGAGATATGAGGCTTTGTTCTGACAGCGACAATATGTAAGCATAAATGTTCAGTAAAACAGTGGCTGCATTTCAAAACAACAGCTGTTTTGATGATGTAAAGGTGGAAATTTAACAAATATTTATGAAAGATCTGCAAACAGTTTTAATTCATAAATATATACCTTTTTTATGAGGTGGCTTTATGTTAAGTATAGTTTTTACCTTTCACTTATAAAAATACACTGGATCTATCATACCATTTTGTGCTTTCAAGATTTCTAATGTTGTTTCCTTTCTCTGAGAGCCTTTAAATGTGTCTTTAATACCACACTGATTCATAAAAGTAACCGAATTACCTTTTTATATGTGTTGTGTGGTATTAAAAAATAAATAATGCTCAAAAGAATGCTCAGTGCATGAAAATAAGTACAAATTAATCTTATGTACAGCCCATTTTAAGCACTGTCATTGTTCGAAATTAAAATATATGCATAGTCAAGTCATAACTTTGTGCACTGTTACATTTTTTTTCAGATGTATGTATAATTACATTCTTTCATTGTAATTCTTGTCACTATTATAAAACATACAGTACAGATACAGGAACTGATCTTCAATCAAAACTGCTGTAGATAAAGTTCATCACTTTTCACACAGTTTGAGATATTTCGAGTGTATATCGAGGTTTGAGTCCGGGATATAAAAGTGGAATCAGAGATGTTGAAGGTACACCATAGAAAGTGTAGAGATGTGTCTGTTTATCACAGTCGTAAAAAGACAGCTTGTGTTCATCACAGTCTAAAAACACTCCCAGCTTTGAGAACCGATCTCTCACTAGAACAGGAGTCTGAGAGGGATCATTAACATAGTAACCTTTCTCTCCATCATAGTGAAGAACCCAGTAGCCGTTCTGTGGAGTTAAAAGAACTTTTCTCCTCTTCTCTGCTGTTTCAATGGTCACTCCAACATACCAGGATGTTGGACACTTATATCGCTTATCTGAAGATGGAGTGGTTGCTGTTTGTCCTGTCAGTCCAGTCACCTCCCAGTAATATTGTCCTGAAGACATTCTCTCTTTAAATATGGTTCCCAAAGGAAAATTAGATGAAACTGGTTTGATGGTCACTAGAAAAACACATATACATGAAATTCAAACATATTTCTAATAAGAGAAAAGAAATATAGTCATTACTCATGTTACAAAATTTGTACTTGTGCAATATTATTTATTCACAATGTTTCTATTATAAACATTTTTCTTTTGTTGCTTTTATTGCTACCATAATACTGCATTCTAACATAAAAGATGGAGGTGGGGAGAGGGGAACAGGATGGGGGTTTACCTTTGCATACAAGCATCTTTTCCCAATCTGGACAAAAGATCAAAGAGAAGAATTGGAGCATATTTTAAAAGAGCAGATGTATTTGTTTCTTTGCTACATTTCTCTGAGGCTGATCAAAGAAAAACATGTAAATGTTCTCTTGTCCACTGTGAAATGATCTTTTACTGAGATTCAAAACTAAAAATTTAAGAAATCAGGATGAGTACTCCTCTAAACCTAATGGTTACATAACAATGAACTGGATTGGGACACTTTGTACTTGAGTCTAAGTTTTTGACCTGATGGAGCATTGAACTTTAAAGAAAAAGGCTTTAACCTTTAGACCCTGTAGAGGACAAAAAGCCTTTAGAGATTTCTTTGAACTTTCAAATGGCCAAAAACCACCTGCAGGTCCATGTGTCCATTCATCTCTCCTGCAACTTGGTCAGTTTGTATTGTAGTCGATGCAGTTACTCAATCTTTATAATGTATAAGTCTTGGATTTGAAAGGTTTACATTAATAATAGCCTCTTTGTAGAAAGTGTGAAGACCAGGAGAGTCTTTGTGAATGTAATTACTAGTTTTCAGTGTTTTATGTGTTTCTAAAGTGTAACTGTATCCATATTTTGATGCATATATCATAAGTACATGATGGTGTTCTGGTGGAGATCTGTTACCTGAGGCCTGAGTGGCTCCTTCAGTTCTGTTTGTTTCTGTCACAGCAGAAACTGGAGTCGATGGAGAGCTGCCCTCTCCTTTAACGTAAACACCAAAACTTAATATCAGGTACAATAATTTCATATGAACTTTATGATATTGCTATTGAATGAAGAGCATTTACTGCTGAATGACTCAATAACTGGACCATAAGTGCAAAACTGACTGTGTACATGATGGTAATGTTATTACTACTAATGTGATCTTTTCAGGAAGAAACTATATATTTTATTGTATATCATAACTGTGGATTCTGTGTTGTAGATCATCATTTGAAATAAAGAACATTAGTTTAGCTATATTTTACATAAAATGTATGTACAGAGTTGGATCTCATTCAGTTACATTAAAAATGTACATGTATGTATTTTGATACAACACAGTGTGATTATTTAGATATAGTTTAGATGCTATTGATAAAATATAGCTTTAGTGATGGATTATGACGCACACAGCTGTACAATGCAAGAAACAAAACATTTAGACTTAGTTTATTAAATACTCTTACTGTGAGTGTGTAAATGTACCTTGTATTTCGTTATCTGGACGTGTGTTATTATTTGCTGCTTGGGGACCTGTTGAATGAAAAATAATGTATATTTCTTTCAAATATTAATTTAAATGCCCTCCTTAACATACAACACATTTTTGAAGAGATAATATCTCTGTTCATTTCTCTCAGAGCAGAAACTGGACTTTACTGAAGAGTTGAACTCTTCTTTATATTTATATTCTTCTTTATCTTCTTTATTTTATATTTTTCTTCTTTATGATTAATATATGTTGTATTTCTTTATCTGTACTTGTATATTGTTAGTTGTTTCTGGAGTTATTAAAAAGTTTACAATTATGATGATGACACTCATTAAAACCATATAGAAAATAAAACTAACACTTATGCAAAGCTATAAACTTTATAACTGTAAGTTTCAAAACATATTTTGGTTCATCAGCCAAATTTAATATTGTAAATCCTAACTGTGGACAGTTACCTTGTATTTGTTCATTTGTACTTGTTCCTTGGGTATCAGGTTCTTGAACTGTTTTGAGAAAAATAGCATGAATTATTTTATTAACATTCATTTTAAAACCAGAATAAAATACAACACAATCCAAGTAAAACGTTACACTACAAATAATGACAAAAGCATTGAAATATTTGTGTTGAGTTCTTTGCTTATGATCACTTCAGTCAGAATTCAGGCCCAGAGACATTGATGTACTGAGGATGATGACCACCAACCAGCCAACTGCACTGTAGCTGAATCATTAGAAACTCACCCACCTGTTTACGTCATCAGAGGGACACATTTTGGAAAATTAAGAACAACACGTCCCATTTAACTGACTAATATTAGTTACCATAACAATTCACTGCATATCACAGCAGCTAAAGCCTAATTATCCAGAGTCCCACCTTCTACAGCACTAGCAGTAGATGTTTAGGATGAAGGCTGCAAAGGTCTCATCGTTTTTTAACAGTATTGAACTTGTTTACCATCAACATCTACTACTCTCCATCTAGAAAAGTAGCCTATATAAACTAGCACAGCTCAGCTAAGCTCTCTAGAGGAAACTCTCAGGAGAAACAGTGCAGCAAAGCTAACGCTGTAGCGTCTTTACATTAAAAATGACCTCTTTGTAGAAAGTGTGAAGACCAGGAGAGTCTTTGTGAATGTAATTACTAGTTTTCAGTTTTCAATGTGTTTCTAAAGTGTAACTGTATCCATATTTTGATGCATATGTCATAACTACATGATGGTGTTCTGGTGGAGATCTGTTACCTGAGGTCTGAGTGGCTCCATCAGGTCTGTTTGTTTCTCTCACAGCAGAAACTGGAATCAATGGAGGGTCGACCTCTCCTTTAATGTAAACACCAACATTTAATATCAGGTACAATAATTTCATATGAACTTTTTGATAGGTTATATTTAATGAAGAGCATGTACTCCTGAATGACTCAGTAACTGGACGCCATTATGCGGGCCCTCAATTAGCTATGAGGGAATCAGAGATTTGATGGATTTTCTGCAGAACTGACAGACCATATGACAATGGTTAGAAACCATGTTGACAAAGCTAACCGGGATCAGTCTGAAACTAGAGGGCTGAAAAGGGAGGTGAGTATGATTACCTCGGAGATAGACAAATTACGGGAGAAAATAGCTGCACTTGAGGACCGCGAGAGACGCAACAACATACGCATCGTGAATTTTGCGCCCAGTCAGGAAGGGGATGACACCATTGGTTTGTTACAAAAGATGCTCCCAAAGTGGTTGCCCTTCCTCGGTACTGAACCACTACAGATTGAAAGGGTACACAGAATCTACAATCCACAGCCAAAGAATACGGACACTCTGAGCACTCTGAAATTCAAGGTCCTGCGGTACAAAGACCAACAAGCCATACTATAAGGGGCTAGAAATGTGAGGAAGAGCGACAACCCCATTCAAGACACAGGGAGAAACATTCTGTTTTTCGCAGATTACAGTGCCCATACAGTCCAGAGAAGGAAGGCTTTCAGTCTCATTCAGAAAGAACTGTGGGCAAGAGGGATGTCCACGTTTATGATCTACCCTGGTACCCTTCACCTGACATTTCAAGGTAAACAGCTGTCGTTCACATCGGCTCGAGAGGCAGAAGAGTTCACAAAACGTTTGTCCGAGGATACTGACAAAGGTCCGTCTGTTTCTTCGAGACGAAAGCTTCCCTTCGAGGCAATACGTGGTAAGAACCTTGCGTTTGTGTCGTTGTATGCTTCTACAATATATGATAGCACCTTTTTCCCATGGATAGCCAAAGAGCTGTTGGCCCTTTCAGGCTATGATTTCATAATTGGAGGTGACATGAATGTTGTAATTGATAATATTAATATTAATTCATTGGACAGATCAACACAAAATTCACCCATTTCTCAACAACTGGCATAAATGGCTTTGACTAAGTTTATTGAGGATTTAAATCTCCTTGATGTTTGCCGTGCGCATAATTTAGGTGTTCAAGATTACAAATGTTTCTCTATACGCCACAAAACAGTTTCAATAATTTATTTTTTTCTACTTTCCAGAAACTTAAATAGGTTGGTAGAATCTAGTTCAATTCTCCCAGCAGTATTGTCTGATCATAGCCCAGTAGTGGTGGTAATGGATTTAGGAATTAAGGTTAGAAGGTCACCAAGATGGAAATTTAATACTAGCTTACTACAAAGTGAGGTTTTTCTAATTGGTTAGGGTTAGGATTAGGTTTAGGGTTAGGTTAGGGTTAGGGATTTAAATCAAATCTACAAGAATTATTAGTGATTAACAAGGAATCTGTTAAGGATCCAAGGTTGGTCTGGATGGCCACTAAAGGCTTTATAAGGAATTTCTCGTCTGCTTTTGCTGCCCATCTGAACAAGGATAAACTTCACAGAATCAGTATCTTGGAACATCAATACCATGTATTGGAAAGTCTTAAAAGGATATATAATGAAGATTAAAAATAAACTTTGCGTAATTAAAGCAAAATTGAATGATTTGTTAAGAAGAAAAGCTGAGTTCATTATACACAGAGTTCGACAAAGATACTACATTAACGGAAGCAGATCTAGCAAGCTTCTTACTCTGAAATTAAAGCAGTGTGAAAGGTTTGCTATGATATATTCCATCCACTCTTCTTCAAAAGGTTTAGTAGTTGACCCAAAGGACATTAATTATACTTTCAAATCATTCTATCAGGATTTATATTCTTCTAGGGGTGACTTTTATACTGAGGATTGTAGACGATTTTTAGATAACCTTGACCTTCCAAAGCTAAGTGAAGTTGAAGCAGAAGAATTAGGCAGCCCTGTATCTTTAGAAGAACTACATTTAGCACTGAAAAATACCCCTAAAGGTAAAGCACCTGGACCAGATGGTATTCCACCAGATACTGTTACTGTGCTTTTGGGATATTCTTGGTCCGGTGTTGTATGAAGCCATACAGTTTGCAATTGAGGTAGGCTCTTTTCATGACCATATGAATGTTGCTATGATATCCTTGTTACCTAAAAAAGGTAAAGATCTTACTCCAATTTCATTGATAAATTCTGATATTAAATTGTATTCTAAGGTGCTAGCCTATAGACTCGATAAATATATTGGGAAATTAATACACTCTGACCAGTGTGGGTTCTTGAAAGGATAGCTTGTGGCAGATAATATTCGGCATTAAATGCATGTTTTACATGAGTCACAACAACAAGATGCTCAGTGTGCAGTCTTGTCTTTGGACGCTGAGAAAGCGTTCAATAGAATTGAGTGGGATTATCTGTGGATGGTGTCAGAGAAGTTTAGTCTAGGATTTTATTCTTTCTATTGAACCCTTAGCTCAGCATTTAAGACAGAACAAAGTTATATCATCAATTCAGATTAAAGGTTGTCCTCACATCATATCCCTCTACGCAGATGATATCATCCTTTAAATGACCGATATTGTTCAGTCCATCTCCAATTTATTACCAGCATTTGAAAGCTTTTAAGCATTATCGGGTTACAAAATTAATTGGTCAAAATCAGCTTTAATGTTACTTAATAGCAACGCAAAAAATATCTCTGTACCATCAATAATTCCTGTTAGAACACAGCTGAATTATTTGGGTATAAACATTCAGACTTCTTTGAATGGCACAGTGAAATATAATAACGGGAAGAAATATAAGAAAGTGGAGCGTGACTGTGTTTGATGGGCCAACATGCCAGCATCCTTACAGACAAGAGTTGCAACAATTAAAATGAACATCTAACCTCGTATTAATTTTGTTAGTATGATGATTCCTTTACCACCACCGTCTGGCTACTGGATTAAGGTAGATAAACTGCTGTGCAACTATATTTGGAATGGTAAACACCCTAAAATACGTTTTAATTCTTTGCATCGCCCCAAAACAAAAGGGGGATTGTCCCTTCCACATTTTAAACTTTACCACCAGTCTTTCCAGTTGCGTCCTGTAACAACATGGATGAACTCTTCATCATCTGCCTCTTGGAGGAATTTGGAAGAAGCATTGATTCATCCAATCAGACTTCAAGATTTACTGTTTTCTAATATTTCTAACACTAAATGTTTACTTAACTTCAATCCCATTATAGCTTACACAATAGCCAATTTTAGAGTGGTTGAGAAGCGAATGATGATGATTCAGATGGGCTTCGCAGTTTTCAAGACCTTTGTCTCTTGTTTGATATCCCAGGAACATCATTTTTTCTGTATTTGAGGCTATGATTGGCGCTCCGAGCGTATGGGGTTCCTTGGAGATCAGGACTTGTAACTCATCCAGTTATGGAACAGATACTAAAGTGCCCTTCCAAAGGCTTTGTTTCATACATATACTCATGGCTGCAAGGAATATATGTATCCTGTGAGACACTAGGTCCCAGCTGGGAAGGAAACTGGAGGGGCACAAGGACCCAGCAGGAAGGCTAGTTTTCAGAGTTGGGAGCAAGCGAATATCTTGAGCTCTTTTGAGACCCGTAGTATGCCGACATTGTTCAAGCAACGTGCTCAGAACGCCACCGTAGTCTGGAGTATTCTGACTTTTATCTGTGTGTACGCAGTGGAAATAGTATGTATGATTATTTTAACAGGTTTATTGATGTGTGCACAGTGGTAGTTACTCTGTGCAGAAGCTTAACGGGCTGTTTCATTTATTCTGTAGCTGAATGAAGTCTTGGTGGTTTGCTCTGCTTAAACTATCAGAAAGTTGAGATACAGGTAACTACATTCATTTGTAAAGCTAAGCAATGCCAGTGGTGGGTTTTAATGTGTTTTATACAATGGAATGGCTTTCCCAAATGCTACAGTGCTAGCGCTTCTTACTGTTGGATATTTATTATGTGTGTGTGTGTGTGTGTGTGTGTATGTATATATATATATATATATATATATATACAGGGGGGAAAGCATTTATTTGTATGTGTTGCCATTGTATATTTTGTTTGTGTTTAATATTGAAAATAAAAAATTGTGTTAGTGTTTAAATGAATGTTAACGAGAAATATTATCCTTAACACAGTTTTTCAATGAAAATATTTCTGTTTATTTCTCTCAGAGCAGAAACTGGGCTTTACTGAACCCTTGAAAATCATTCATTTCCATTAAGAATTCTAGAGGTCTGTGCAATTATATGCACACATTACAGTGTGATTATTTACATATAGTTTAGTTTATGCTAATAGAAAAAGCAATGCTAACCATGCAGCTTCATAATGGAAACAAGCAAAGCATTAACTCAAGGTGGTTTTGTCAAACACTGTAAATCCAGATTGTGCAGATTTATCTTGTATTTCTTTATCTGTACTTGCATCTTTGTTTCCCCCCTTTTGGAGCTATTAAAATGTTTACTGTTATTAAGATAACACTGTTTAAACCATACAGATGGGTTTCTGTGCAATGTGCATGCATTAGGGGGCAGAAAGCAACAATAACAAGGAGTTGTTGCTCAGTAAACTGCACCAACTGCAGAGAAGATGTTTGGAGAATGTTTAATATCCCAAGGGAATCACATTCCTTTGCCAAGCGCCGCAGAAAATTATGGATCTAGGCCATCAAAAGGGCAGATTGGGGTCCCACAGGTCCTGAAGGCATCACCCAGTGTATGTAGTGTTTTTTTGACATGGTGATCAACACAGGCTATCAACACATCTGAACTACAGTTTTAATACTGATAGCATTTTCTGACACTGTGTTTTGGTCAAGACTGAAGTCAGTTTCCTGTTCACCAGCTTCTTGTTCAAATTTTCACCTTAAATGATGCCTGGCTGGGCAGTGCCCTGAGACACCAGCATGGAACTGCTGCACCATTTAAGGTGGAATGGCAAAATTTGAATAAGAAGCAGGCGAATAAGAATCTGATTTCAGTTTCAAAATATCCTACCTACAGTTTTATGTAGATCTCAGCTAAACTGTCCGTTTACTTAGCTGAGCGACACCAGTGGTACCACCATCATCCTGATACTGTCAGATAAGGAGAGGATAGACTCCACAAACAACTAAACCAGGTAGGCTGGGAAATTCATAGGATGTGTCAGCAAGACGTAAAAGCTTGTGTGATTTGGAGCTCCTATTAGCTAAACATTTAGTGATTAGCAGACTTAGCAGGGCGTTTATTACAGAGACCTGATGACTAGCCGACACTGATAGTCAAAGATTGTTAGCTAACGTTTTACATAATGTTATATTAGTATGCAAGTTAAAGAAAAACAGATTCAACTCAGAAATGGAATTTACAAACAATGCGAAATCTACAACAGTTCACTAACTTCACAATCTTGTGAACAGCTAAGTTACCAAAGCGGTTTTGACCCCTGACTGCGCGCACACAGAAATGTTTGTAGGCAGAAAACCCGTCTATACAGAATAGTGATAGTTCATTCATACATATTTCCAATTTTGTTTGAATACTTTGATTGCTCAGTGACTCAAAAATAGGATCATAATTTGAATACTGAATTTGTCCTTAGATAAGATGTGGGGCCAGATTCATAAAACACAGTGCAAGATTTACTGTGACGTAAGAGCAAATAGCACGGCGGTAGTGTTTGCTCATACATAAACAAGGATTATCGGTAAGTTTTACCGCTCATGCGATGTGAGGCGCGGCCATGCTTCCTTTATTTACCTGCACTGGTTGCAATTCATTATACAGTCCTGCAAAAAATTCAATTAATTTAGCAGAAGCTGATGTGGATTTGGTTAGATTTTCTACAATGCTTCCACATAGATTTTATTGCAAGCAGTTTTAATCCTATTTTTCAATTCGCTATGGATTCAAAGTACATACATGAAATTGACGTTTTGCTAGTAAAACTCTTAGAAGTAAAACTTCTTTAAAACTTGTTTTACAAGTCAAAATTTTATATTTTAATGGAAATTTACTTTGCACTTTACATAAATCAAATTCCTGATATGAAGAAAAATAAAAGCTAAAAATATGATTAGAATTTCAGCATGTCAGTTTTTTTGTATACATTTATTTTTTAGTATCAAAGCGTTTTCTGATAAAGAAACTTCTTTCTTGATTAAAAGTAAAATGGCTGGCTATATCTGTGTGCTGGGACTCCCAGTGATATCTGAATGTTTTTTTCACATTTCTTTTTTTTTTTATCTTTCCCACCTTTAACAACTGACAGCAGCTTGTATACCATTTGCTACTGTTTTTTTTAAGTTCCATAATTGTCTTCTTTATCATTTTCTGCTGTTTAATATTTGTGGTAACTTTACTAAACAGTTTGTATCTCTGGTTCTGAGAATTTTGGGTTTTCTTTGTCATTGTGTCCATTTTGGCAGCCAACTGGAGCTTTACTGATGTGGGTCTTTGGTATTTAAGACTTCTTTTACATGTGGATTTTGATTGGTTCTAGGACATGTAAACACGTGAAAATACTACAGAGTTATAAAGACACCAGTGAGCTAATCACCACCACGATGACTATGAATAGCTGTTATTTACTGTACACCACATTTTAGCACATTAGCATGTGGTGTAGCGCTGTTACCACCAAGTTTTATGTATCTGACCCAATGTGTTCTCTTCTGAAGCTCATCACAATTTATGTGACACAATAAACTTGTTTAAACTTTGCATTAACATGTGTTTCATGATTGGTCCTGAATAAACTTTGGCTGGATTCCATTTACACTTTTCACTAAAATGCAACCCCAGTTTGACCAGATGAGATCCGTTTACACTTTTTCCACATAAAAAGCTCATCAGTGCCATTTCAGTTTTAGTTCTGTTTACATTTTCCCTGTTACATTTTACGCTTACAGCATTTGGCAGACGCTCTTATCTAGAGCAACTAACAATGTGATAATTTTACACAGATAGGTAAAGGTAGTGGTAGGAGTCTAGCCCAAGGACTCTTACTGGTATAGTGTAGGGTGCTTACCCAGGCGGGGTACTGCTCAATGACTCAAAAACTGGACCATTTTAAAATACTGCATTTATTCTTTATAGCAGTGTTATTAATATAAATATGATTTGAGATGGTGGAAATGTGACAGATAATAATGTGGGATTTATGTGAATACAGATTGTGGAAAATTACCTTGTGTCCTGCCAGTTGTTCCTGAACATGCTGAAAGGAAAACATGGTTCATCTTATCTTGCAAACACTGAATTAGAAAACCAATTCAAAATGATCATGATGAGTAAAAACTGAAAGATTGTGCAGGTAAGGACGGTATGAAATTGTGAGGTTTGAGTGGTTCCATGATTTCTGTCTATTTCAGGGCAAAAACTATATGTTATAATGTTTGAGGTAGATACATTTGATATAGTATAGCTCAAATGATCTATATAATATCTACATGATGATGTACTGTGGAGATCTGTTACCTGAGGTCTGAGTGGCTCCAAAAGTTCTGTTTGTTTCTTTCAAAGTACAAACTGGATATGAAGGACGGCTGAGATCTGCTTTAAAATAAACACCATTCATTATTCAGTGGTTGTCCTAATAAGTTTTCTTCTTACTTTTTATTGTGTTATTGAATGGAAAACATTTTATGCTGAATGACTAAATCATTACGATATACTACATCAGCTCCATCAGCTCTGATTATTTCTCTCAGAGCAGAAACAGAGCAGATCATTACTGTACATCCAGAAATTTACCTTGTATTTCTGTGTCTGCATTTGTTTCTTTGTCAGCTGTTTCTGGTCCTGCTAAAGGAAAAACAGGGTTAATCTTATCTAGCTAACATTCATTTAAATACAACCTGTAACACACTTTTAAAATGAAAAAAAGAACAATTAATAAATACTTGGAATGTTTGTGCAGTGTTCATTGGTTTTTGCCATAAAACCTGCTGAGTGTTGTGTTTTTGTGTTACTGTGTCAAACTTTACTACTTTCAGAGTATTTTTAAGTCTTTATTTTTTGTGTTGTAGTCACATTTTCAAAATGCTTATAGTTTTGCCACTACAAAGAAGTAATGTAAATAACAAAAGCTTTAGTAACAATTTCTGCAGCTATACTGAGTGAATGTTCATTTACAGTATGAGTAAATCAACACAGTATCGGGCCGATACCCAATACCACTATCGGTATTGATGCATCCCTACTCTTCGTGTACGTAAGTACTAATTTTTAGGTATTTCTAAGTGTTTTTGTTGTAACCATGTTTGATGCCAATGTGATATCTACATGATGGTGTTTTGTTGAAAAATTATTACCTGAAGGGTTAGAGGCTCCACCAGAAATGCTCATTTCTTCCAGACCACCAATCATGTCTTTAAAATAAACACCATTCAAAAATATAACATTAGCTGCAATACTTTCACACTTCTTTCTTCTCAGATCATTTAATGGAGTGCATTTACTGCTGAATGAGAACCATATTTGGAATACTAAATTTTGACATGATGGCACAGTTATTACTACAATTATATTTTCCTGTGGTACAGTATGATTATTTCGATGCACTTTAGCTCATGCTATAACTGTGTAACAGTGGATTACGAACCATGCAGCCATACAATGCAAGAAACAAAACAACTTATCTTACTTCACTAACAACACTTAGTGTGAGTGTGTAAATTTACCTTGCACTTCTCCATCTGTAAAGAGAAAAGAGCTCTGTTAATTTCTCTCAGAGCAGACACTGGGCTTGATGGAGGGCTGAACCCTCCTTTAAAAGGAGACCACAGATGTGACACCATTTCAGTTACGTTACCAAAGTCTATGCACTTTTATGCAGGTATTACAGAGCAATAATTTACATACAGTTCAGTTTATGTTAACGGAAAGATGGAGCTTTAAGTGTGTATTAGCAATGCTAACCATGCAGCATCATACTTCAAACAAGCAAAGCATTCATTCAAGACTGATCTTGCTTTATCAACCACACTTTGTCAAATACTGTAAATCCAGATTGCAGAAAGTTACCTTTTATTTCTGTATCTGTAATTGCTTTTTTGTTGTCTGCTTCTGGACCTGCTGAAAGAAAAACAGGCAATGTTTAATTGTGACTCATTTAAGTTACATACAAAATAATATGACCATTTATGCAAAGTTATTATGACAGTCTCTGCAGTTTTGTTTTTAACTTATTTTAATGTTTTAGTGTCTATGTAATGATATATACTGTATATGATGGATGGTGACGAGTGGCTCCATCAGTTTGTTTCTGTCAGAACACAAACTGTACATGATTAAGGGTTGTGCTTTTCTTTAAAATATGATAGGCATAATTCAATGTTAGCCAAAATATTGTGACATCAGAGCATGTCTGTGTTGTATTCAGTGCAGGAAATGTTTTGTCCTGTCGGTTTTGGGTTACATTTTCCAGCATTTGCTGCACTTGGACCATTTTGCTGAGAACTGCTGTTGTGTAGGGCGGGGCTTATGTGTGTGAATGCAGGAAGAGATGTGTGCTGAGTGAGAGAGCAAATTTCTCTTCTTGTTCTCTTTTTGCTGCCCTGGTTCTAATTAAAGCTGCATTATGGGCATGAACTTTGTGTTGTCTAACCTTCTTTTGAGAACTCCCCACGTGACAATATATTCATTTTTATTTCATTGGTGGATGGAAAACATTTTCTTAATTTCAATTTCTTCAATTTCAAAATCACCAAGGTATACCAAAATGCTTATTGTTTTGGTAACCTATAATTAAGCTGTCTCTGTGTTTATTGAAAATGTAACAGTCCTGTTATCTTTGGCAATATATGCATCATGTCCAATTAGTGATGGAAAGAGACTTCACTGGTTAACCAGTCAATTAAATATAAATATATAAATATGATCTTATATATTAAAATGTTACATTGCATTGCATAATGAATGGTATATCCAGAGACATATCATCACAACCACCTTCTTGTTTCTACACTCACTGTTCATTTTATCAGCTCCTCTGATCATATAGGAGCACTTTATAGTTCTACAATTACAGACTGTAGTCCATCTGTTGAATAGAACGCATTTACTGCTGGAAGACTCTGTATAAATGGCATGTAACTGAAATACCGAATTTATTCATGATGACAATGTTACAACTATAGATATGACCTTCATAGACACAGATATAAATCCAGAATTTGATGCAGTTGTTGCAGCTGGATTGTTTATGGAACAATTTAGATCATGTTAACAGGAAGAAATAGCTTTCATCAGCCACATTTAATATTGTAAATCCAAACTGTGGACAGTTACCTTGTATTTCCTCATCTGTACTTGTTTCTTTGGCAGTTTCTGGACCTGTTTTGAGAAATATAGCATGAATTATATTACTAACATTCATTTTACAATCAAAATGAAATACAACACCGTATAATAAAAGTATGTTACACTACAATAATGACAAGATTATTGAAATATTTGTGCTGAGTTTATTGTTAATGATCACTTCCTGCAAGTGGTAGTCAAAAATAAGGCCCAGAGACATTGGTGTACTGAGGATGATGACCACCAACCAGCCAACTGCACTGTAGCTGAATCATTAGAAACTCACCCACCTGTTTCCGTCATCAAAGGGACACATTTTTGGAAAATTAAAAACAACACGTCCCATTTAACTGACTAATATTAGTTAACATAACAATTCACTGCATATCACAGCAGCTAAAGCCTAATTATGATTATGGTGATCAACACAGGCTATCAACACATCTGAACTACAGTTTTAATACTGATAGCATTTTCTGACACTGTGTTTTGGTCAAGACTGAAGTCAGTTTCCTGTTCACCAGCTTCTTGTTCAAATTTTCACCTTAAATGATGCCTGGCTGGGCAGTGCCCTGAGACACCAGCATGGAACTGCTGCACCATTTAAGGTGGAATGGCAAAATTTGAATAAGAAGCAGGCGAATAAGAATCTGATTTCAGTTTCAAAATATCCTACCTACAGTTTTATGTAGATCTCAGCTAAACTGTCCGTTTACTTAGCTGAGCGACACCAGTGGTACCACCATCATCCTGATACTGTCAGATAAGGAGAGGATAGACTCCACAAACAACTAAACCAGGTAGGCTGGGAAATTCATAGGATGTGTCAGCAAGACGTAAAAGCTTGTGTGATTTGGAGCTCCTATTAGCTAAACATTTAGTGATTAGCAGACTTAGCAGGGCGTTTATTACAGAGACCTGATGACTAGCCGACACTGATAGTCAAAGATTGTTAGCCTTCTACTTAAAACAGCTCCTTATTCTAGCTCAAATTCCCTCCTCTTTATTGAAACTAAGTTTAGTAATTCAAATCAGTGAAGAGTAATTTGATACGTTGAGATTATAATTACGTGTTAAAACTTATTTTAAAACTTTATTGCAAGCAGTTTTAATCCTATTTTTCAATTTGCTATGAATTTTACAAAGAATTCAATGTACATACATGAAAATGACATTTTTACTAGTAAAAATTCATTTCTTATCAATTAAATTATTTTTTTTTACAAGTCAAAATATTTTAATGGAAATTTACTTTGCACATGTGCAAATCAAATTTTCCATATTAAGAAAAATAAAGGCAAAAAACATGATTAGAATTTCAGCATGTCAGTTTTTTTAATTGTGTGGAAAAAACGACCAGCTTTTTTATACATTTATACATTGATTTTTTTCCAGTATCAAAGCATTTTCTGATAAAGAAACTTCCTTTTTTAATCTTTCCCACCTTTAACAACTGAGAGCAGCTTGTATACCATTTGCTACTGCGTTTAGTTCCATAATTGTCTCTTTTATATGTTCTGCTGTTTAATATTTGTGGTAACTTTACTAAACAGTTTGTATCTCTGGTTCTGAGAATTTTGGGTTTTCTTTGTTTCTTTCTCTTTTTTTTTTCATTGTGTCCATTTTGGCAGCCAACTGGAGCTTTACTGATGTGGGTCTTTGGTATTTAAGACTTCTTTTACATGTGGATTTTGATTGGTTCTAGGACATGTAAACACATGAAAATACTACAGAGTTATAAAGACACCAGTGAGCTAATCACCACCACGATGACTATGAATAGCTGTTATTTACTGTACACCACATTTTAGCACATTAGCATGTGGTGTAGCGCTGTTACCACCAAGTTTTATGTATCTGACCCAATGTGTTCTCTTCTGAAGCTCATCACAATTTATGTGACACAATAAACTTGTTTAAACTTTGCATTAACATGTGTTTCATGATTAGTCCTGAATAAACTTTGGCTGGATTCCATTTACACTTTTCACTAAAATGCAACCCCAGTTTGACCAGATGAGATCCGTTTACACTTTTTCCACATAAAAAGCTCATCAGTGCCATTTCAGTTTTAGTTCTGTTTACATTTTCCCTGTTACATTTTACGCTTACAGCATTTGGAAGATGGTCTTATCCAGAGCAACTTACAATTTGATCATTTTACACAGCTAGGCAATAGTAGTGTTTCGAGTCTTGCCCAAGGACTCTTATTGGTATAGTGTAGGGTACTTGCCCAGGTGGGGAATTGAACCCTAGTCTTTTATCAGCCCAGAATGAAAGAAGGATCTTGGTTTGTCTGATGCTTTTAGTGTTCAATGACTCAAAAACTGGACCATTTTAAAATACCGCATTTATCCTTTATAGCAGCGTTATTAATATAAATATGATTTGAGATGGTGGAAATAATGTAATATGTTAATGGAAATTCACGTTGCACACGTGCAAAGCTATAAGATTATTAGAATTTCAGCATGTCAGGTTTTTTTTATTGTGTGGAAAAAATGACCAGCTTTTTTATACATTTATTTTTTCTAGTATCAAAGCGTTTTCTGATAAAGAAACTTCTTTCTTGATTAAAAGTAAAATGGCTGGCTATATCTGTGTGCTGGGACTCCCAGTGATTTTTTTTTTTTCAAATTTCTTTTTTAATCTTTCCCACCTTTAACAAGGTGGTAACTTTCCCTATTACATTTTACACTTACAGCATTTGGCAGACACTCTTATCCAGAGCAACTTACAATTTGATCATTTTATACAGGTGGGCGAAGGTAGTGTTAGAAGTCTTGCCCAAGGACTCTTATTGCTATAGCGTAGCAGGGGATTGAACCCCAGTCTACAGCATAGAAGGCATATGTGTTACCCACTACCCACTACATTACCATACAAATCGACACGTTTGGTATGGACGGTTTCATCAGCCCAGAATGAAAGAAAGCCCTTGGTTTGTTTGCTGCTTTTAGTGGTCAATGACTCGAAAACTGGACCATTTTAAATACCACAATCATCCTTTATAGCAGTGTTATTCATATAAATATGATTTGAGATGGTGGAAATGTGTCAGATAATAATGTGGGATTTGTGTGAATTCAGATTGTGGAAAATTACCTTGTGTTTTTTTTAGCCTTTTTTTCTTTGCAGGTGAGGAAGGTATTACTGAGTAGCATAAGTAATATATGAGTTTAAGTGTGATTCAAACATGATTAAGTTGCAGACATATTTTGATGTGTCCTGACATATCAACATGACAACATGAACAAGATGAATGTAATAACCCACTTTCTGCACACCACCTGACTTAGACTGAGATAGTGAGATGGGGATAGTAAAAGCAGAACACATGACTTCTAAAAGAGTTAGACCTATATAGGTGCAGTGCTAAGAAAGAAAAGCACAAAAGATTAAAGCTTTAGAAGAACTGATCGTACTTGATTGAAACCGTATCTGCATCTAAAGTGTATGAAGTATTGTTTACAGCCTGCTATACTGTTATATATAAGGACTATTTCAGGAAATGATGTAACACAGAGATGTAGCATGAAATTGTGTGTTGAGGTTTGAGTTGTTCCATCATTTAGTCTATTTCTATCAGGGCAGACTTGATAGATGGAGCCAGTCATAACCTAATATTAGACAATAATTTCACATTTATTTCTTCTGTTTATTATGGAATTAAGATCATTTACTGCTGAATAGCCCAGTAGTGATATTTCCTGCGGAAGTTACATTATTACATTATTGTAGTTTCTTTCACAGCACAAACTGGACATGAAGATCTGATTTAAAATTAACACCATTAATTATTCAATGGTAGTCCTAATAAGTTTTGTTCTTACTTTTAATTGTTATTGAAAGGAAAACAGTTCATGCTGAAGGACTAAATCACTGGAATGTACTACATCAGCTCCATCAGCTTTATTTCTCTCAGAGCAGAAACAGAGCAGATTATTACTGTACATCCAGAAATTTACCTTGTTTTTCTGTGTCTGTGTTTGTTTCTTTGTTGGCTGTTTCATTGGTTTTTGCCATTAAAATCTGCTGAGTGTTGTGTTTTGTTACTGTTTCAGTAGCCTGTGTTAAACTTTATTAGTTTTCAGTGTATATATGTTTTTGTTGTGGTCACGTTTTGATGATAAATGTAAGTGTTTTGGGGAAGAACTCTTACCTGAGGTCTGAGTGCCTCCATCAGTTCTGTTTATTTCTCTCACAGCACAAACTGGACAAGGTGGAGGGCTGAAATCTGCTTTAAAATAAACACCATTCATAACAATGTTGGATATAATAATTTCATGTCTTGATCATTATTAATACTGTTCAATAAATGGGGGATAATTTAAACACTTACATTTCCAGCATTGAAATGTAGCCACTGTAAATAATCTTTTCATCTTTCTTACATTTTGCAAAATCTGCCTCTCAGGTTTTGAAATATAAAAACTAGCTACATTGTCCGTAACTGCATGGAGCTGAAAGTGATTCAGTTCCATTATAAATCTACAAATCTCAGCAGTTCTATGCACTAATTACAGTGTGATTATCTAGATATTATATGATGAGAAGACAGCATCCGCTGTGAATTAGCAATGCTAATTATGCAGCTTTGCAGAGAAAACAAGCACAACCTTCATCAACCACACTTTGTCAAAGACTGTAAATCCAGACTGTGTAAATGTACATTGTTTTTCTTTACCGTTACTTTTTTCTGTGTGAGCTGTTTCTGGATCTGCAGAAGGAAAACAGGTTTGATGTTATTTTGATGACGCTCATTTAAATACACCATATGCAAAATAACACTGACATCAATGCAAAGTTATTAAGTTATTAAACAGTATCTGTAGTTTATTACATTTCTGTTTTCTTTGTTTAAAATATTTTGGCCATATTTTGGTCTCTATATAATGATATACACTGATCAGGTATAACATTATGACCACCTCCTTGTTTCTACACTCATTGTCCATTTTATCATGGTTAGCATGGGTCTAATTAACCTTGTCTCTGTACTGTTTTTTCTCAACTCCAGCAGCACTACTGTGTCTGATCCACTCAGACCAGCGCAACACACACTAACACACCACCACCACGTCAGTGTTACTACAATGCTGAGAATGATCGACCACCCAAATAGTACCTGCTCTGTGAGGGTCCATGGGGGTCCTGACCACTAAAGAACAGGGTAAAAGGGGGCTAACAAAGTATCAGAGAAACAGATGGACTACAGTCTGTAACTGTAGAACTACAAAGTGCACCTATATAGTAAGTGGAGCTGATAAAATGGACAATGAGCAGAGAAACAAGGAGGTGGTTGTAGGGTTTAGGGATGATTGGTGTATACCTTTAAGTCTTATTATTATTGTTATTACTATTATTATTATTGTTATCATTAATATTGCAATTTTCATCATGTAATGCCGTATATCAATATTTAAATATATAAGTACATATGTATATTTATTTTAGATTGCAAATGATGCATTACCTGACAAAGATAAAAGGATTGTTGCATTTTCAATAAACATGCAGACAACTTAATTATAGGTCACAAAATCAAACATTCTGGCATAGCTTGATGATATGATTTTGGCATAAAATTTAAAATGGACAATGCTGTGACAGTGAACTGTCCACTGCACATTATACAGTGAACCAGTGAGGTTAATTAGAGCCACGCTGACCACGTCTACTCACCAACAAGACGACATGCTTCCTCTTCTTAATGACCATAAAAAGAAAAGAGAAAAATATCATCCATAATATTCACACCCTGAGGTCACAAAACTTTAAATAATTCGATATAACAATTAATAGCTAGTTGCTAAACAATAAGATACATTTTACAAAGCGATACTTTCTGAAAGGAAAACAATTAAATGACTATTTCAGCCTCCTCACATCATCATACAGAGTCTTACCTGCTGGTGTGGACGTTGTGCCTTTCTTGAAAATGTGACCTGCATTCCAGAAATTTCCAAAAGTTAGATTGACAGTGTGAGGCTTTTAATTAAGATTTGCTGATAAGTGAAAATTTCCTACCTCTAAACTTGAGGAAGATGATTGTCACCACAGTGAGAACCAACAGACTGATAACCAGTAAGATGGTTGCAACTTTCCATCCTGGAGAAACTCCTGATCAAATACAACACATTATAAGTAAATATTAACGCTTTAAGAGGATCATTGAACCAGTTCAGGAGGAGCACTATGTCCTTTACCTGGTTCTGTTGTTGAATCAGTTTTCGTGGCTGGGTGGTGAACAGATTTGAGTGGTAGAACTCTGCTCTCTCTCATCTCCTGATCAGATAAACCCACAGAACAGGAGATCCACTCTGACTCAGAGGGAGAGAGAAGCAGCCAAGAGCTCACATTCACCAACCCTTCAGGGTCTTAATGAGAGAGAGAGAGAGAGAGAGAGAGAGAGAGAGAGAGAGAGAGAGAGAGAGAGAGAGAGCGCAACAATGTATAGGTTTAGTAGCCATTAGAAAAGGCCCAGTTTTACGAAGGAATGATATCAGTTAACGTAGCTTTTCTCAGAGATTTTCACTCTGTCATGTTACAGTCATCTTCTACACCACTGAGTAAGGAAGGAAGTTTCCTTACAATGAAACTTCAGAACTCTGGAGCTTTGGCACATTCACTAGCTGTACTAGTAATGAGTGATATACCAGGTAAAATTCTTCCTCAGGTTTTATTTTTAGTTTTGTCATAACCATTTTAACTGACTGTGGCTGAGTTAGGAACGTTTCAGTCACATTTCAGATGAAACCGAAAACGCAGCAGATCCTCAATCCGTTACATCTTAAGTAGTCCACTTTTAATGCATCAGACATAAGGGAATTGATTTAGCCCACGTGTCAAACACAAGGCCATGTTAGGCCTATGGCACAATCCTACTATATATATGTAATTAATGCTATATTCCACACCACAGTTTCTTAATCCTGTACCTGGCAAACCGCAGCCCTGCACAGTTTCGAGTGTTCCTTGTCTCTACATTGATCCAGCTCATCAACTGATTGTGGAGCCCTTCATGAGGTGGAGCAGTTGGGTTGTTGATCTAGCTAGATGTCACTACAACTGTCCAATATTTGCTGGATTACATTAAATGTTAAACATCATGAAACGTCTGCAGTCACTTTCAAGTTAAAATAAACACTTTTTAAAACTTTTCAGTGGCATGTAAAATATAATGCCCTCAAACTAAAACGAGGCCCCCCTAAAGTGAAAATCTGGCTAAGCCACCACTTTATTATTGATTTTTTTTCTTCTTTAATCAGATTAATAATAAAACACTGATTAGGTATATTTCTTTTTACACATTTTCTTGTCCAAGGTCATTTGGAATGCAAACTAATAATAAACAATGAATTTGCTTTTTTAAATAGCAAACAAATGCAACAATAACACTGAGATGCTGTGTAATTAACATGAAAGAGCAGAATAAAGAACAGCAACTGCCGTTTTTTTGTTTTGTTTTGATGGTATTAATGGTATTTACAAACCTGTGTAGTCATAATTAACACTGTCTGTGAGTTCTCTTCCTCCTCTGTCTCTCCAGGTCAGCGTGGGCTTTGGTGACCATCCACCTGATGCACAGGTCACATTCACCTGTTCTCCAGCTTCAGCAAAGGAGAGAAGAAGAGGAGATCCAACCACTAAAGTAAAGAACAGAATATAGCATTGAGTAAAGCTGTTATAACTGAATCAGAATGTAAAAAATAAGTTTAGTATAAATAAAATGGATAAAACATATATAAACAGATGTAATCTTTTAACAATTTGGAATTTTACTATTAGTGATATGAATAAAGTGTGAAGAAAAACTAGTGACAGGTCAAGGTTAACCAAAACATTCTGATGAGGCTCATGTTTATATATTACATCATATCTTTACCTGGAAGCCTGAGAAATACGCTCGCCTCTTCATACCATTTATAACTTTTAACATAGCACAGATATTCTCCTCTGTCTGCTACTGTAAGGTTCTCCAGTTTCAGAGAGACGTTCCCTTTCTGCAGTTCTCCAATCAGAGACACTCTGCCTCTGTACTGAGGAGCTCCAGCGTTCTCCTGGACCTTTAGATCTTTGTACAGCAGAATTGGGTTTTCTTTTTTGTTGGGTCGATACCAGCGTACTTCATAGCTCCTAATGTCCAATGCAGTGGAAAGTCCACATGGCAGAACAACAGAAGATCCTAAGTGTCCTGATGTATCACCGTCAGGAACCACCAAAGAGAAGGTATCTAAAAGAGGCAGATTATTTTGTTAAAATATAATTTGAAATCCAAACGTTTTAAAGGTTTGAAATATGAAAATAAAAAAAATGAAATGAAATGACAATGAAAATGCTAAAACCTTGTTTATACCTGGTCACTTCATACATCTTGAGCATCAGGATTATATCTAAATAGTGCTTGTCCACATAAAAATGCAAGTGTAAATGCCACCAAGACATTTTCAAAATTTAGGTCCACTTACTCAAACCACTTCAGGAGGTGCATATTAGCCGGTTGTCATACAACTGTAAATGCATCTCTCACACGAAGCCACATTAGACACCCCTCCGATTACTGTGACAACACCTTCATCTGCTGTTCTACGGGGAAAAAACGCCCACTGGGATGCTGCTACTAAACAGAGCTTTCGCTGCTCCTTTAGTTTAGCTCTGGAGTTTCTCCTCTGAGTTGATTCAGTAGTGTTCAGTGGCGTGAGCTACTTAAAAATAAAGCACCAGTTTGGTTCACCATTACTACGCATCATCACTATTCACTGTCTTGCTACCATACATTACACTTCAACCAAACTTCACATTATTCAACATTATCAACATTAAAACATTAACAAGTTTTAATTGGAGAAATTTAACCTAATACCACAGAGCTCATCTTACACACTACGTTCAGTATTCAAGCCTCAAGTCCAAACAATGTGCTGATCTTAATTTATAGAAAATAATCACATTTAAATTCCAAACGCAATATTGGTTATAAAAATCGCAATTAGATTCGATTATTTTCATCAAATTGTTCAGTCACTATCACCGCAATGACCAATACATACTAATTATTTTAAATAGATAGTCGAATAACAATAAAAATAATATTAAACGAATAACATGCAAAATGGTGATTTTCGAAGCGGCAACCATCTTGTAAACAGAACAGGAAAAATTAAGTATAAACTAGGTAACTGATCGCTGTATATGACCTGACTTGCATATAATATAGATGCATGTGGTTAAAACCTTATCAGGTTATATCCCAGATTGAAGTCACATGAAATGATCAGGTGTAAACAGGGTCCAATGGTTTAGGATGAGCTGAGGGTGACATTAATGAACTACCTGCATTTGAACAGCTGAGAAGATCAAACATCAGCAATAGAAGAAGCATCACTGTAAATGGAAAACAATATTAGTTAGTGTTTATTACTGGGTTAGTTCAATGGACACTGAAGTGTCTAACTTTTAGATGACTGTGCAGATGTGGGAGGTCAAATTACTCGTGCCTTTTTGCTTTTATGAAATGGTGATAACATTAATTATGACAAAATACACAACATTTTAATAAATAATTCAAGCTGTAATTAATAATAATCCTAATGAACTATTCTTCTGTGAATACATGTAATTCATTTCAAAAAGCTATTGTTGCCACCTACCATTGTATACTGCAGTCTTTTTTTATGTCATATAATACTGCAAATATCATAAAATGGCATTTAATACTGAAACTTTCGCCTTAAAAGAAGTTTTTGCTTACCAAATTTCCACAGTGCTGACAACGCTAACTACCACTAGCACCTTTTACTAGCACCTACAATATCCTGTGTTGTGTTAGCATGAAGCTAACGGTTCCACACATTAATTTTTCCACACTGAGTTTAACACTATTTGAGGCAGATGTACCAAAAACACAGACATTTGACACCTGATAGACATTTAACACTCTTTGCTGTTCATTATAATTAAATACTTCAATTCAAAGCCGAACACTTACTATTAATGGACGAGCAGCTTAGCTTGTTAGCTATCATTTAGCCTGTTTAGCCTGCTATGTTTTAGCCTAGTTGTTACCTCAGTTGAAACAAAACCAGGTTCCTGTTGGTGGTTGATGTTAGCGCTATAGCTAACAGTCCATTCATAGCACAGTGTTTTTTAGTGACTTCGGCGCATTAATATAGAATCCAGTTGTTGTGATGCGGCCAGGTTTGCACATATTTTACATTGGCTTTCAGCGCAGCACAGCCAATCAGATTTTAGGACCAGAACTATCCATTTGATGAAGAAACACTAAAGGGGAATTCCACTGATTTTTCTAAATTTCTTTGGGATTCAGTGTCTGAGATGTAAACAGAGTCATTCAGAGTGGTTTGGTGTGAAATGGCTCATATCTCTTTACAGTGGTGCTGATAGGAACCAGGCGTCGTCATGACTACAACACAAATATAGACATTTTATTTACCATCCAAAACCACTAGTGAACCTACACGAGTCCTTTGAGTTTTTATTTGTAATGTTGATTATGGTAAAATAGTGCCTGCTGACATAGAAACCATTAAGTGTTTCTGTTGGCTCTTAATGGTTCTGTAATGTGTTTTGGCTTTTTTAATTGATTAATATCACAGTTTAAAGGATCCTAATGGTTTAACAGGTGACCAGTGGCTGATTCTAAATGCATGTCATGGTTTCCTAATGGGATCTAAAGGTATTCTACAGTAAACGAGTGGTCTCTATTGTAAACCATTTAGCCAATTCCCTTTGACAAGCAAAACCATTAGGTTAATGCTAATGGTTCCTAATGGAGCTTTTTCAGCAGGGTGCTCATCTGGAAAAATATGTTTTCTTTTAGGCCTTTTTTACATAGAACACCATTCATGTATCCCTCTTTTACTTAATACATGTAAAAACGTCATCACAAAACTAAAACAGTGTCTCAGACATCGGGCAGTGGATTCATAATTATTTTGTGTAATAACTTTCTGTGAGGGAGCTTTTAGAGGTGGACGTCTGGTTCCTATCACCACCACTGTGAACAATTCTGGCTCTGTAAGGTTCTCTAGAACCAAAACCACTCTGAATGACTTTGTTAACATATTAGTCATTTAATTATGCAGCAATTTTGAAAAAATGGATGGAGTTCCCCTTTATTAACAAAACTGTGATATTCACAGATGCATCTACTCAAAAACAGTAACAAACCCAAACCACCACCAGGGGCAGCTGCAGTACTAGAGAGCTGTTTTCAGTGAAAAAAATATATGCAAAACGAGGTCACTCAAAGGCGAGTGCAGTACAAATACTGACTGTACTAAATTTACTGTTGTTGTTCTTTAGGTTTGGGACTAAGAAAGTAGCTTGTCTCCACAGCGTATCAGTAAAACATTAATCATGTCATAAAGCAAATGTTGGGGGTGGCTAAACCAGTTATAGTAGCAAAGGTCAATAAGGACTAAAACACATAAGATCAGATAAGATACGCTTAAATAGTACTGAATATTAACCGCATTAAAAATAATGAATAGCTCACACAAGCAAAAGAAAAAAAAATATTTTACATGCATCGATCTCAGGACAGACCACTGTGATATAATCTACACATTAACACCCCACACACACACACACACACACACTCTGAACTCCCACCATTTCACTTTCACTTTTACTAAACTCAAAAAAAAAAGTCATAACACTATTAAAACGTATGAAAATGAGAAACACAGAGTGAAACATGATGAACTGTGTTTCCTGCCGAATCTATAGCGCGCAATAGAGTCTTATATACCGGATAGAGAGTTTAATCACTGCCTACCTTCGTGTGGAGCCACTGAGGCGTAACTGAATAAGAAGAGCTTCAGGATGATCTACAGATCCAGAGTCCACCTGCTCACTGATCACTGATCAGAGCCTTAATCAGCTCTGTTTCAGACACTACAGTGTTCAGGGTTAATAAGTTTTAATGAGTTTGTAGATCCGGAGGTGCAGAGATCTTTGAACCCCACCAATTCCCTGGAAACTACCGGAAGAGGCGCGAGACAGAAAGCAGGAGTCCAGGAGAAAAACGAAACTGGATAAATTGGACAGGATGGCCAACTTTATCTGTTCAGTTTATCGTCTATTAGACATAACATGTATGATCTACTGCAGAGAAGACAGAGAAACAACTACAGCCGAGTATATTGTTTTAAACACGTCTTTCCATGGACGATGAATGTTTGGAAACGGGGCTACTTTTAAGGGAGCGTCTAAAAAGTGTCTGAAGTGGAGGAGTTCACACTGACAATCTCAGTCAACGGGAGCAGCTGCTCTTCTGTTTTTCCTTAAATATCACTGATGCACGAGCGCCACAGTCACTGACTGGGCACTTCTAACATTATTTACCAATAAAGTTTTATTTCTCACAGATTTAAATGCAGATGTCACTTTATTCACTGCTCCCTTTGAAACACCACAGTCTTACAAAAGTAAAAAGATGGTTCAAGGGTTCTTTAGTAAAGTGGATGGTTCTATATAGAACCATGAACACTCAAAGAACCATTTGCATGATTTCAGGTTTCTTGGCAAGGGTTCTTCAGATTGATGGATAATGTGCTGTATGTGGTTCTATATAGATACATTTATATAGAACCAAAAAGAGTTCTTCAGATTGATGGATAATGTGCTGTATGTGGTTCTATATAGAACCTTTTTGAAAAGGTTTTTATATAGAATCAAAAAGGGTTCTTCTGTTGTTATGATGTCAAGCTTGTACCAAGAACCCTTTTTTGGTGCTATATAAAAACCTTTTCAAAAAGGTTCTATATAGAACCATCCCCAGTAAACATTTGGCCGTTGAAACAACGTTGAAATCACGTGTCTGACTGCCGTTTAAGCTACGCTTTATTAAGGTTCAAAATGAAAGTTAAAAAAAGACGTCTAAACTTAGCCGTTGAAATCACGTACATAACTGCTGTTTAATTTACGTTTTCTTATGGTTGAAAATGAAAGTTGAAAAGACGTCCAAGCTCAACTGTTGAAAAGACGACCAAAAAAGTCACAGTAAAAACGTCATTTTAAGGTGTTCTAAGGCCTTGGAAAAAATTATTGTTACGTCTTGTGTCTGGCCTTTTCCTTTTTCTCTGTCTGAGTGTTTTCAGGTGGACGTTGCTGTATGACTGACGTCTCGTTTTTCCCGACATGTGATTGGCTGTTCCAGTTGGCGCCGGTTATAAAAGGCCCTTGGTGATGGATCAAGAGGGAGCGGTTTTTATTTGGCATCGCATGGTTCCGCTCTCCTGGCTGCCCGCCAGTCGACAGACCAGTTATTGTTGGTGATTTGCTGGCCTACCGGTACGTGTGGGCCAGTGAAGACATTTTTGTAAATTTGTTTCTTTTGTTTAGAAAGGGAATGTAGGGGTGGCCTGCCCTTTTTGTTTGATATGTTGGTCATTTTTTATTGGTAGTGTAGTGAGGTTAGTGGTTTTGTAATTTTCTTTTGTGCGTTAGTTTAGTTAGTTATTTTTTTTATTAGGTTTTTTTGTATGTTGTTTTGGGTCTTGGGCCTCCCTGAAGTTATGTTTCCCTTATTATTTTTTTTTTTTGGTTTCTTGTTCAGTCGCAAGCTGAAAATAATTTTGATGAAGTGCACAGTGCAAAAGCATTGAATAAATTGTTAAATACGTATTTGATGTGATTATTATTATTATTATTTATTAATTAGAAGTTTTTTTTTGTTTTTTTTTTTGTTCTGGTCTGGCGTCTGAGCGGGCAGTCTTGCTTCCTCTTTGTGCGTCTTACCCCTAGGAGACGTAACAATTATAAATTATACATTAAAAGGCATTGAAAAGTCATCCAAAATTAATTTCCACTAGTACACTCTCAAAAAAAAGATAGCACTTTACCATGAATCCTATATAGAACCATTCCATGCTTAATACACTGTACAGCAGAAGAACCTTTTTTGGTGCTATATAGAATGAATTTTTCTATATAGAACCATATACAACACATTCTCGGTTAATGTAAAGAACATTTTCACCATGCAAAGAATCTTCCTGTAGTTAAGTAACAATTTTGATTCCAATGTAAACATAAAACAAACTTTTAAATGGAAACTTTATTGAAAATGTGTAGTTATTCTTAATTTCATTTGTGGAACATAAAACTGGACCATGAACTTCGTCAGGACTATGACAAAGATCCTATGCATCAATTCATAAAGAATTTTCACCTTTGAACCATAAGCTGTGTCAGTACTGTATAAGATTTTCAATCTTTTAATGTAAAGGAAATCAAGGTGATTATTTAACAACACAAAATCTTGCATTTTAGTTTCTGAGAAGTAAGAAAAAAAAAATAAAGTAAAAAGCTCTGCAGGGGGCGTGCTTGAGGTGATCGGCCATGGCAGCGTCCATCTCATGAGCTGTGGCTTTGTTGTTCCACTTCAGAACTGCAGCTGATATAAAATACAAACAAGACTGTTACAATTAATGCACACACAAATCATTAAAATCTCCTGGCAAAAACAGACGGATCTGTGGAAGGTGACAGCCATTCTAACATCATACTTATTACTTATTTAATCTTCCTTATCAGTTAATAATCACAATGCCACAAGGCCTTTGACAGCTTTTAATTCACATATATTTAAACCTTTCAGATCTGAAATATGTTTCCATATAATATAAATAATATTTTCCTGTCTGAAATGTAGCCAATAAGGAGTCATCTGATAATTCCAAATCTTTTTTTTAGTTATTTTTAAATGTTTATTTCAGTGGGCTTCTAAACAACTGCGAAGTAGTGATGTTGTGATATGTTCTTTTAAATGCAAAGGGCTTGAGCTTGTCTCTAATTTTATATACTGTCTCTAATTTTATATATTCTCCTAAGACCCATGAGATTTCTAAACTCTATACTAGACTGCTGGAAACTGAAAAGGCTCTCTCTTATTTTGGTCAGTGTTTATTTGTTAAAAGAATAAAGCACAGTCCAAAGAACGAACTGGGTAGTAAATAGTACAGAATGCAGCTGTATAACATACGAAGCATCACAGAAAAGCTCAGTATTATAATTTGACTTTTTTATATGCCTTACAAATTCCAATATCAAATTTGACTGAAATGACTACAATTAATGATTCTGCTTCTTTAGATTAGTACTGGTGTTATATGTAACATTGCTCAAACACTAGAAGACAATATTAACTATGTTTTTCCATAAAAACATCCCTGAAACTTCTCTCAATCCTCTCAAACCTCATCTAGGTCTCCATTAGAGTCAGCAGACATGTCAGTGTAGTGTAGGACACACAATGACTTACTTTGAACTATAGAAATTAACAAAACCTCCCCACTACGGCCATTTCAGGCAACACAAAGGCTGCACAGGACTGATGTTGGATCAGTAATTATGACTGTCATTTCCATAAAAAACGATTCTAGATCAGCAATCCTACTCCTGAGACAGAGAGGTTACCCACGGCACTTACTCTTTGATGTTTTGTTCACTTTTATAGCCCACAGTATGTCATATTGTGTTGTACACCACATTGAGAAGCCTGCGCCACCTTAATGAAGACATGAAATGATTTAGGTGAATATTGACTTTTAGGGTTTGTTAGAAATGTTAGCTTCACAGCTCCATTGCTAAACTAAAGACACAAACTTTGGACACCAATTATGTCTTGGCCAAAAGACTACATTGGGGGTAAGCAGAAAATTGTTTAAATTTTATATTTTGCTGAACCATTCCTTTAAACAGGTTCTTAGTCATAAAATGAGTGTGGCAACTGATAACCAGGAAACCTGTACATAAATTGTTAACACATTACGTTCTATTCTGTTTGTGATAATACTTTTTTAACTTGTGTGCATTATTTGACCACTGCCAGTATGTTGTTGTGGCACACAGACAAATCCAGTCAGCTTCTGAAACAAATATTTGTTTGTTATTTCATTGTCTAATAAAAACTTACTAATGATTTCAACTTGTGTAGCCAAAGCTAATGAACGAAGCATCAGAATGACTGCCACATTTCCACTCTCCACCAACATCTAGAAACACAGCTGTAGCTTCTGCAGCTGTATAAAAAAATAAGCTAGCTAGCGTTAGCTGCTAAAATTACCTAGCTGCATAAGCTAGCTACTTTCAAATATTGTAAAATAATCATTAATTGTGGTACTTCGTTTCAAAGTCAAAATATGCTCCTGGCAGTTTTAAAATGAGCCTCGAGCTATTCATGTATGTGACTACAAGCTTATGTAAATATAGCTAATGTAGCTCAATATAGCTAACGGCTAACTTTTACAAATGAGCCCGCGCAAAAATCCAAGATGAACGCCGACGTAGACACTATATGGAGCACTACATTCACAATATACAGCTGCTATTCACGTTAGCGTTTTACTAGAATGATTATGTGGTGTTTCTAAGAAGTTATTAGCAAATACTTATACGGGGCAACAACAGAAATAGCTAATGTCAGAAAACGTGTGTTGTGGTGATGAATCAATAGTATTAGCTAGCGAGCTTAGCTTTTATCAGGACCGTTTCCATCAATCACACTGAATTAAGGGAAATAAAATGACCTTTACCTTCGTTAATAAGCTTTTAATTCGCTATATTCAGCCAATACAGACAAATCTTTAAATCTACGTTAATGCCGTGCAGCACCGACCGCTGTTTCCCGTAGTTAGCACGACTGTTCAGCACTAGCTAACCTTAGCAGGACGGCTTCAGCAGCTGTATCAAATACTAACTAGCCAGCTGGCTAACATGTACCCTCTATTCATGAAAAAACGATAATACTAATATTTAAAGATTCGTTGTAAGCTTAGCTATGGCAAAAGGTCTACCTAAAACGGCCAGCCAACGTTTACTCACCTGGGTCATTGTGGACAGTACCGCCGTATGCTGTGGGCGGCTCGCTGAGAACTTTCTCAGACGAGGACCTTCCATAGGGGCAGTGATCGGTGTCCGTTCAGATGGATATCGCGGCTTCTTTAACCCGCTTGATACATCCAACAAACCCACAGCGCTTAAATGACAGGACTGCCTTGCTGACAGTGGAAATGCAGCTGCAAACAGGATTGCAAATATTCATTTTGGCAGAGCTGAAGGGCCATGATGACGAAATACAATAAAATGGGCGTTTTTTTATGTCAGAGTCAGACCATATTAAGATAATGAAAATGAATGGTCAAAAACGCTGCTTTTCTATATTAAAAGTTGC